AGCAACAATAACAAATAAGACAATAAAAAACAGGGTAGAAGTGTAACTGTAAGATAACAAATGTGACGTTTTTGAAATATTAGGAAGATATCATGCAATATTGTGAGCTTGAATTTATCTTGTGTCTTTTAAAGGTACATGATTTTCATAACAAGGATATTCAGAATGTTTCACAGTTTTTGTCTTTTTTTTGTCTCATGCTGCTTTTGCTTATGCCAATGTCTTGAATTTATTTTGGACACTGTTGACAATTTTTATATTCCGCTTGTGTTGTAAGGCCTGTAAAGGTGCACAATTGTCACCGGCCATGCATTTGAAAATTTTGGCTGCTTTAGCTGAAGTGATAAAGATATTGAAAAAATTCTTTAGGACACCCAGAGCTAGTTCAGAAACTGGACGAGGCGGGAGTAAAAGAACTTGTGGACAGTTTTTTGCGTGACTCTGAAAAGACACATGTCACCGGCACCAAATTAAAAAAAATCGAAAACATTGAAGAGGACACTTTTGATGATTTTCTTGGTAAGATATGTTTTCTAAATTTGCCTTTTTGGGATTAAAACAGATATGTTTTAACTATTTGCATCAATTGTTGTACAGGTTCTCAATTACCTGCAATAGTTTCATTTTCAATCCAAGGGAAAATGGAAATCTTCTTGACTAAACACACTACGCTAAAAAAGTTTCGGAATTTTTTGATAAGAGAATTATGTCAACGAATTTGATTCCGTTTCGCCCAGATATGCGAACTTTATTTTCTATACGCAATCTAGGTTAAAGTATCCTCAAAAAATTTTATGAGCTGGAAAAAACGGCAACTTTTTAATTATAATAAAAAAACAGGATTCGTATGAATACCTTTCGTCTCTTGGTGTTGCAACCTTTTTTGGTCTCAATGATTTTTAACGTGATCATGTTTATTTCCATGCTTTCAAGGTCTTTACAAGATGCCTGATTCAGTTTTTTACTTAAATAAGATGTTATAATAAAAAGCAAAGCTAAAAAATGCAGAGCAGAATTTGTAAGGGCCTGACTTGATAAATTTGATACTCGGAGGTCGGAAATAAATAATTTTTACTATTTCTGAGGTTCTTGCAGATACCCTGTTTCATGGACACAAATTCTCGGTAAAAGATTCCAAATTCCCATCAATTTCTACGATACTTAAACCTCATGAAAGTTTGAACTCGCTGTTATTGCGTGTTAAAGTTCTCTTGATCCTTGTGTGATTTCAGCAGGCACTACAATATCCTGGGACGCCTGCATGAAAGTAAGGCAGGAGGGGCAGTGTTGGTGCTGAGGGCAAGTCATAGATTTTTCTAGTAACATAATCGAGTATTCTTGGGGGGAGGGGCATATTAGAATATGAATATGAATATGTGCCATCATCTCTATTTACAAAACATAAAACTTTCCTTTGATCAACAGCCAAGAGCCATATACAGCCGGGTCCTTTGCCATCAAAGATTCTAAACGTAGGGAAAATGTTGACGATGTCCTCCATACATACAAGTGAGTATTGAATTGCCTTGTCACTTTTCACAATGTTTGGTTTTATATAAATCAATGCGGTTATAAATAGGCAGGTTGTAAAAATTGATTTCCTGCTATGTTTTAGTACCGATTTACCCTTGTTAGGTTCCTGGAGTTCTTCTCAGGGAACAAGTCTTTTGTTTTTTGCCGCTCTCGCTCCAGCGGCCCATCAGTGTTGTCTTTTTTAAAATTTTTTCATTGTAATTAATATAACGAGAGTGGTCAAAGTTGCCATCAATTATCTATAAGATTCTATAATATTTTCTTGGGAGTCGTATATTCAAGATCAGCTGTCCCTCCAGCCACCCCCCCCCCCCTCAATGTAGGCTCCCCTGATAACTTCGACACTGAATTTAATGCACCAGTAAAAACGTGAATCGCAGCAAACCGTTTGCTGCTGTTGATACTCTAGTGCCCTGCTTATAAGAAACAGCGTTTTCAGTTTCAGGTCTGACTTGTTATATTATAGAATAAGGTAAGCGAAAGTCAGGGGAAGGTTTTTTATTAGAAAAATCATGTCCTATCGATTAACTACTCAGATAGGACCTCGATAATTGTGATACAAAACATGTCATTCAAGCCACTTTAAACTATCTTATCAAAGTGTTTGGTTATGTTTCCAAAGGCTTTAACATATATATTTATAGCTTTTCGAATAAGAAAGAAGCTTTTTTCAGACCTGTCCATTCCATGTATTTAATGTATTTTGATTTTTCATTTCTACTGTATTCGTGGAGCAAAATCAAGGCATCTTTTTCGATTGTTGAAGGGACACAGTGATATTTTGTTCATCATCTGACACCGGATAGGTTTATGAATCGGACTTGGTAAACAGTGAGAAACAAGCTGTTTTAGCCCCTTTTAATGAAATCTTTTCTTATAATAAATTGAGGTTATTTTTAGTCAACTTTTTAGCTTTTTTTTCATTTTCTGACTCGACCAAACTTTTCGATAATTCTTTTATTCGAACAGCTTTTCTCAGTCTCTACATTTCTCGGTCTCATGAGGGTTAGAATAGGTGACCGAGTTCCGACTGCACTGCCTTTGGTAATAAGCTATAACCTTCTTATATTTAAAACTACTTTCTTCAGCTAAAAAGAAAATCCCTAATGCCTACCTGCGCAATATCATCGTGAATATGACGTTAGGTAACAATGTCGGACAGAAAGGCATCTGGGAAAGTGAAGGCTTGAAACCAAAATGGTGGCCAGAAAACGTCGCATTCACTTCTCCTAAAATCGGCGAGAGAGATGGTAAGTAAAAATGGTTTCCTAATCTAAAAAGCGTTGAGTGAATTTCAGAAACCGATAGCTTTTATATGCCTGTTAGCTGTTGCAGTTTTCTACATTTTCTAGAGGATAACCTCCATTTTACTACAAGAGATTTTACACTTTAAGTAGAGCAATATACATGTCCTCAAGGACTATTGGAGTAGAAGCTAAATAAATTCTCACTAGACAATATGGAAATTATCTTAACAATAGTTTCCCAACCTTTCTAAGAAACTCTATCAATAAGTATAACCAGTTAGCGACGTAGATCGGAAAATTCATAGGAAAGCCGAGAAATTTAGATTTTCCGACAAAAATTTTATAAGAGTTTTTCTTTTTTCATAAATTTGAACATAAGTTACGTGTCATTAATCATGCTACTTGAAAATTTTTCTTGTCTTCTTCTCATTGAAAGAGATTGCCAATCTGATTCAGAATAACAGAAAAAATCACCACATTCACCTTTAAAATTTTTTCTCTCAAAATGTACATCTTAGATAAAAATAAACAGCCAACCCGTCAACGTTAAATTTCTGACAAGATCAGAAGTTTCCCGACAAGACAGCAGTTTATCTAAGCCACTGAGTATAATGTTTGACTAAACATTCAACCTAAGTATTAATTGTTAAAGTGGTTCATAAGATATTTTTTCATTAATTTTGCTTTTGTTTCAAGGCAAAACTGTTATGTCTTCCAAAGACCTTCTGATGGTGGGGGATCGCCTACGAAACCATCTTATAAGTATGGGTTTTAATCCTGAAAAGAAGGAAAGGAAGGAGTCTAACAAAGAAGAGGAGACCCATATGCCTGATGGTGTTAACAAGCCTGTCCCTCCCAATGATAATTTTTCCAGCGATTGTCAGGGTTCTGAGCCTGAACTTCAAAACCTTGGATCGAGCAGAATGCCACCTTATTGCTCTTCTGCGCAAAGACCAGCTTTGAAAACACTGGTGAGAGCTTTCTATGTTCAAGGTCTTGTTAATAAAAATCTGTTACTGAAAAAATGTTCTTATAACAAAAAAAACTTTCAAAGATAGAAGAAAATAAACTTCATTTGGGAATAAGAACTCGAGAATTATTTTCCTGATTGCAAACCATTTTGAAATGCTCCAGTATTCTTTACCAATTCAAGAAACATATTTATTTCCTTACGACAAAATAAATTACTAATTTCGATACTGGCTGCAAGGACTTTTGTTAATTTGTCTCCAATGTCTCCTTGACTCATCAACCAAATAAATTTGTTTTCGAAAGTCGGCTTTTAATTATTGGGGTATTTTTCCTCAGCAAATGATCACTGTAAAATGAAACTCTAATGTCTATCTTTTTTATGTATCGTGATATATCGTCATCATTTCATTTATAGTCTGCACGTTGTAAGGGCCATTTGCAAAGACCACACACCTTGATAGGATCATGGGCTGAATTCAAAGGGACAGCAGCTGAAATAAAGGAGGATGTTTTCGATGAGCTGATTGGGGTAATTTTAGGAATTGGTGAACTTCAAAGACCTAAAGGATAAGTCGTTGGAAGCCAGGTAAAAATGGAACTTTCAAGCTTAACTATTAAGCAACTTCTAAGCAACTTCTATTCAAACCTTTTTGCAGGAGAAAGAAAATATGCTAGCAACTTTGTAACTAATTCAAGTAGTTGAGAAGATGAGGGGGCAACCTGGCTGAAGAGCAAGAAGCTATACATACTCAGTACCAAATTTACTCTGGAAATTTTTACCCCATTTGCCAAAAGTCGTCACAGGTTATTGTATCCAATTTTGTCGTTTTGTCTTGAGAATTGTGGTATAAATATTTATCATCTGTCCAAAAATTAGTTACACTCCGCTGCGCCATGAAGGAGATAGCTCTATTAGGCTCTATTCGAAAAATTAAAGGAAAATTTTTGCTTTTACTTTCAAATAAATATAAATTTCTTTGTATCAAAACTTTTTTTGTTTTATTTTGATTAATTTAATTGAAACGATTTGTTGTAAGCTTTAATTTTTCGGATGCAATAGTTCATGCTAGAAGTACAGCACCGACGGAAGGAATTTCATATTTGCGGCTGAGAGAAGAGCGATGAATGTGGTGCCTGTAAATTTACACAGGCTCGAGTTCCAATGCTCTAGCACTGTACATAAATGGATTCATAATTCATTCGCTAGGTTGCAGAATAAAGTCCCAGATGGATTGATCCCAGGTGTGGCAAACGGAGACGGTAATTGCCTATTCAACTCGACGGCTAGGCTTTTATCCCTGGACGAGTGCATGGCACCTCTGATAAGACTTGGCTCTGTGTTGTTTGCAGTGGATCATTACGATCATCTTTTTGATGGAGTATGTACCTTTACTGCTTTTTTATATGGGCTTATTTCCACGGTTTGCGGAGCATATTACAGATTGAGGGGGTTAAAACGTTTGATGGGGGGCTAAACATGCTAAAAACCAAGAGCAAGGCAACTTTTTTCATGGTTTCCAGCAAATTTTGGTTACTATTCACAATGGATATTATTAGAAATTAATGAGGGGCTAAAGCCTGGTCCGCTTTGGCTGTGTTTATTGCATGTTGATTTATGATCTGCAATATCACAGGTTAGGCTATTGGTCAGTTATTTTCAAGACACATTTACACTAGACGTTCTGCAATTATCTGTTGAGAGAACTATTTCAGAGAAAAATTTGACCTTTGAAAGTAGACAATTAAAACTAGCACCTAAATTCGTTTAAAAAGATACAAATGCAGCTTTTTATCAAGAAATCTTCATTTACACATTTAAAGCTGAATTAAATCAATCTTTTGTGAGGTAATAACAAAAGTGACATCCAGTAAATCTTTATTGCGCAATTGTTTGTATGTTTCAGTTCAACATAAAACTGTCAAATATTGATATGGCATCAGCATTTCTCAGCCAAAATTGCAGTAGTTTTAAGTACGAAAAACGTCCAAAAAACAGCCCATCTATAGACGAGCTTCTTCACCATGTCATTTCTCACGAGATAATGATAACATCAGTCAATGGTGAATTTTCAGGTAAATTGTATTTTGAAAATTATCATATAACGTTTAGTATGGCTATATATATTTTAGTGCTATTTTATTTTATGTTTTGTGCTTCACTGAAATAAGCCATTTAAAGTCTGTTACCAAGTTGCGTACTGATGTATAGTATACTAATTTTCCCTTTTTCTGATAGGGCCCCTGCAAGTGCATTTCATTTCTGGGCTTATTAACCGCCCAATCAACTTGAACTGCGAGTTTTCAAATCACTTTTGCTACGCTGGCAGAGTCAATCCATGTCCTTGTTCAGAACAACGAACATACGGGAACTCTCTGAACATAATGTGGACAAACTTTGCAGATGATGGAGAGGACAGGATAAACCATGTTATTCCGGTCTACCACGTTAGAGGCAAATAGTTGAATATAATTATTAATGCATTATTTGAAGATAGATGCCTTGAAACAATTACCATACCATACTCTTGCTTTCACTTTATAGTTTGAAATTACAACTTCATGATACTTTGATTCCTTAATATGTGTCAGTATCTCCAAAATCTATTTGTTTTATATGTTAGAAGCGAAAAACATCTATCAGGACAACTGGCAGAGAAACGAATTCATTTACAAAAATTTAGCAGTTTTAGCTGATCAATTCTGTGTTATAAATGCCACTAATACTTATTTTTCGAAATTGCTTATTAAAGTTGGGATTTAAATCTACTTCAAGGCTCTTGAATGAATATTAACTTGTCAGTGCCAGAATTCAAGTTGGTGAATGAGGAAGAGCACTGTATGGCAGACAAAGTTTTGAAATGCATTCAAGAGAAGAGTGCTCCAATCTCTTGGATTCAATGCACTCTGTGTAGAGTGACAAGATGGTTTGCTGTGGCATGGGTGACAAGAATCGGGCAAAATTTGTTTGCTGCTCAAATGGCGTTTACTCCAGGTAAGTTGGAAGAAAAAGTCCTTCTTTTTCATTGGATCCTCACAATCTGCGAGGTAGCCCTTGTCAGCTACAATCAGATAATCATAAAGCTTATCTGTTCATTGCTTTGTTTGGTTTAAGTACCTATAGGTAATTCAACCATAGGTTGGGAATTTGCTTTAAGTACCGAAATAAGGGGAAAATATTGTTTAGAGTTTTGCCGTGTTTCATAACGGTTTAATGCTACAAGATTTCCATACTTGATCTCTAGTCTGTGACAGGTTAGATTTTGAAAAGTTAGACAATGTTGCAAAACAGAAACATGTAATAAATCAAAAATCAAAGTAGAAGAGGAGGTTTTAAGCCTTCTGAAAACTTTTGAATATATTTAGGATTTAAGCGACTGTTTAAATGTGTATAGCAGTTGAGTAAAATTTATGGTATATCTTGCAAAGTTATTGACTATACATCGGTGGCAAAAAATGATCAGTGAAATTTCTGTACGTTAATTTTGATAGCCTTTTCATGTGGCCGAACTTTTTCGCCTCCGGACGACGACAAAAATTGGAGCACCAAAAAGGATTCGACATCAATGTTCAAGACATTGTAGACACATTGCGTGGTGGGCTTTCCTAGAGGTCTATAGAGCTTTACATCAGGTTTGTTTTAATTTTGTTTTTACATATCACTACTACATTCTAGGACAGATTTCACTTCTACAGAAATTTTTTCCAGGACAGGGTCTAAAAAATTATTGTGTAAGACATATCCTGGTAATTTTTTCCAAAGACATAGACCCTCCCCCTCCCTCAGGAGGAGAGCTCCACATTTCGAGCACTTGCAAATTGAAATGCACACGTAGGTAAAGATTTTGTGTGGTACAAATAATAATGATTCTACTTCACATGGATGTTTTCTAAAGATACATCCACTCATAAGCCACCTAACATTCCACAAACGACTGCAGCTAGCATCCTAGTCAACGCTTGCATAAGATACAGGTATACACTTATGCCAGTTTCATATTTTCATATTTCTTTATGCTATAATGTCAGTTCCGAAATGTCCAGAACCAAGCATATTCTATCATGCACTTTTATGTCTCTGATGCAGGTATTTTTGGTGCTCTTTTTGCCTGTATATTTGTCAAACAGGATTTTTAGGTTTTCTCAATTTTCTACCACTCATGTGCATAGATTCTAGGGGATTGTTGCTTTAGGGAGAACTTGGGAAATCTCTAGATTCTAAAGGGGAATCCCAGCTTTAGAGGTCAGTGTTTCTAAAACTATATTTGTTTTTTGGTTTTTTCTCAACAGTAGAGTTGTTAAGCTTAACAAAAAAAGGCCAGTGCTTTATTTTGTGAAAATGATTATGGTTTCTTAGAATAACCCATGTGGCAAATCATGACTCGCGAAATAATTATCTTTTGTTTTGAAACTGTGGATTATTTTTTCAGAAATTTTTGGCAACAGTGTTTCCTGCTTGGACCCTAAGGCGTGTTTGCAACAGTACGTCGCCAGTTTCCGAGCCACAGAGAATAACCTACAAAGTATCACTAGAAAATCTCTCTCCCGTGCTATTAGGTGGTTGGTTGGCTGCTACGGGTATTACATTGCAGCTGTTATCAAATCAAAGTTTATCATATTATAGATATATGCAGAATGAGATTTTGCCTGTGGAATGCAAGAACGTGTTTATAGGGACAGATGCTGTCTGGGAAATGGTAAAGACATCAGAAAATGACGCCACTATGGTCAAAAGATCTGCACATCTTTTTCCAAATGAGGATCTTCTCAGTAAAAAGATGTTGTTATATCCTTGCAGTCTGAATCCGTAAGTTACCATACTTTTATTCTTAGCAGTGATAACAAGTATTCGGGAAAGGCATTTATGTGTTTCTATACTTCACTGCCATATACCCCAGAGTAGTGTCTAAATTGTTTTTACAGCTTTACCTTCTTTTTTTCTCATGTATTCAAATTATAAATTTAATGATTATTGTAAGATTTATTACCTTTTGAAGTTTTTCAATTTTGCAGAGATTGCTGGCATTGGGTTCTGGTTGTTGCAAATTTGGAAAATGACTGGTAAAATGCATGCGAATTCTACCTCTGTTCTAAATACTGATGTCAAATTTCAAGAAAATTAATGGATATTCAGTTTTTATTGGCCATCTTGTCAGAATTAGGAGCTATTTAACTAAGCAAATCTTCCTTAGGTTGGTAGTCTTGGATTCAGCTCCCAATGCCACGGGTCACGCATTGACGCTCAAAATAGAAGAGAAGTTTCTTCGCTATCTAAAAGCCCTGTATGCGAATGCTGGCTCAAAGAATCGCCAGATCCGGGTTCTTCGAGGAGAGGTGATCATTAAATATATCTACAAACTGCAATTAAAAAAATTGCCTTGTAGATTTATTTTTAATAAAGAAGCCCGACCTCATAATAAAAACACTCACATTTCATATGCACCATTTGCATCTTATAGCTTATTTGGATTTTCACTCTTTTCAAGGTACCAAGACAAAATGGAGGCATTGACTGTGGCCCAATGGTCCTCAGCTCTATTCTAAAAGTTGTTGAAAATGCAAGTATAATTGTTTACATCAAATCTTTTTTTTAACTGGTTGCGTGGAGCAGCAACATTGCGACCTTGAAATGCTTTTAAACAGATAAATTCAAAGTAGTTTAAGAATCCGTTTTCCTCACTAGGACCGCTATCATCGAAATTTGAATCATTTTACAAAGAGACCATACAAAAAGGCCCCCCCTCGAAAAAGACCCCACCTCGAATAAGCCCCCACTGCTACCGTAAACCACTGCTACCGTAAATTTTTAAATTGGACCCCTCTATTTGATGCTTTTTGCCATCTGAAGTTGCCTTTGGCATTTTATTGAATTACCACAAAAACTCATACTTTTGGTAATAATTAATTTAATGCTCATAAAGAAAATCCTCCTAAAATAAACGAGATCTTTTAATAATGTCTTCTTAATGTCTACAATAGTTTTAAAAGTTCATGTACTCCGACATACGTAAATAAGAAGCATGCAACATTTGTCAAAAACCGAGACACTGAACAATCTCAAAGACAATCACAATCTCAATCACAATTCCTTATAAATTATAAATAATGACAATGTCAAGGACACTTTTTCAAAAGAGCTCTTTCATCCCTTTGACTCCCATGCACAAGAAAATAAACACTAGTTTGATTAATTATGCATATTTTCGAATTTTGTCAAAGAATTTGGTGTTGGAGAAAAAACATACCATGTTTGCAAAACAGAGTGAAAATGCCAGGCAATAGAAATGAGTGCCCCAATGCTAATTTGGTACATTGTTCCCCCCTTGTCTTGCTTTTTCTTTTGTCTGTTTCATAGACTCCTCTCTGTCTAAGTTGCGGCAATGCTGGCCAATAAGAGTACGGAGTCTTTGCAGAACTGTCTTGTGAAATATTTAATGACTCCCATTCTACTATGGTCTGAAATGGCTTTACTGCTTTTTCCATCATTTTGATCAAAACAGGTTTCAGCATATCGGGTGGTTTATTATTTTGCCAATACCTGTTCTGGGAGCATGTCCTTTATCATTGACCCTGCTCTTCAGGCAGGGAATTTTTCACTACAGTCTAAGGATCTGGATAACAAAAAATTTTAATGGTTAGAATGAAAGTATATATATAAGGGATCGAGATTCCGAGTTGGGACATTTCGGAAAATTGGTTCCTGTCCTTTGCCACACAGTCATTCGTATCAGATTCTTTATCCCCTTCTTCTCCGCTGTTGATAATCACTGTTTCTGCCATCGGGCTGTCTTCTGCTTCATCGGATATAGTTTGCTTGTTCGGCAGTAGATCAACTAAGCCTGTTTTCTTTCTTTTTCTTGGTTTTTGAACTTGTTTTCGAGTCGTTTTTCTTGGGGGGCATTTTTCTAAATACAACTGTAGTAATCACCAAAACTTCCACCTTTTCCTTTCCTTCCACGAATGCTTTTGACTGATGGCGGAAAATGATTGCCAACGAACCAGACCGGCTTCACATCTCCATCTTGAATCTTCCATCCAAATTCCTCCAAGTCAAGATGATTAATGGTCCTCTGCCCACAACCATACCATACATAAGCCTGGCAGTGAGCTCGTTTGATAACTTGGACAACAGAATCTGGATCTGTGGGCAAAGACATCAACGACTTATTTTTCAATCTTTTGTACAAGTGAATTCTTGTTTCCACGTAATCTTCATTATCTTTGCCAGAATAGATCACCGAACGCACAAACTCTCTGACGTTGTTTAGACCATCTTCGGCCAGCTTTCTGCCCTGGCCATGTGACTCAAGCAAACCCAGCTTTGTTTTATCTGCAATAACTTTCTTGAAGATACGAAGCTTACCAGTTTGATAGAAGTACGCTGTCGTGTCGCAGCCTGTAATTGCATGAAAAGGGGACACACCGAGCAAATATCTGATCCAAGGAAATCACAGATTACACCAATTCTGTGTATTTCTCAGCATCATTTTTCAGGTACCTTTATGTGTAAAATGGTATTGAGAATACGCCCCCACCAACAGCACTAACACATCAGTGTCTTTCGCAACAATGACTATATCAGTCTGCTCTTCAAGTGCAATAGCACAAGTCTGGTATCAGCCTCTTCTCTACGTTTACAGTTACCCACTTACTGTTACAACTGTTCAAGCAAAATTTGGTGTGACTAAGATTTTTTCTTTGACAAATCCTTCATCTGAATATAAAAAAGTGTTTTGCTTCCTATTCTGCACACTGCTTTATAGGAAACAAAGTACAGTTTGTTAATTATCATTGGGGGAGGGGCTCAAGCACCCTGTATCTGGCGGCCCTCTAATTGATACAGTCTCCGGTGCTCAAACAATAGGGAGCAATTTTGGTATATTTATTGGATGCAGTGTAAAAAAGCTCTGCTCACTTTTACAATTTAGGAATTCCTACCAGAATCAGAGTAATTTCCATCCGTAGTTGCAACATGCTCTATTTTTTTAAGGGACATGTTTTGAGGAATGCACGTGCCTTGACCCTGTCTTTACATCCCTGGAGCCCACACAGAAAGTTTTTGTTCCATGTTTTTTCAGGAATTTTTCGGTTTTTTTTAACACCCATTCATTTGTGAGTGTATCTATATCGGAAAGAAAGGATGCAACAGATTCTCCTTTCTTTTTTGTGCATCAGGTGTTTCTAAAAAATTGAATCACATCCCAAGTGTTATAGAAAAAATATTTAAATACATGAAGGAATATATATTTTACAATTCTTTAGTCTTGTAATTTTACAATTGAAAGTGTAACGATGTAAGCAGAGGCACCAGAACAGGCTATGTGCAAGAAAGTCTTCAATTGTAGATATCACAAATTAAATTATTACCAGCAGAGAAATTTAAGGAAAATTTAGAGCTGCACATTATTCTTGGGAGTTCTGTGTTGAAGAAATAAATATTGGCTCTTACACAAGAATAATTGCACTTGATGCGCAAGTACATGTAAACAAGGAATTTATTCATGTTTGGTTTCTGGAAAGGGGGGGGGGGTACTCCCATTATGGCCTCACAGGGGTCCAGTCAGGTTAAAAGAGCGCCAAGGCTAAATATTTAAAAACTTGCCCTGAAATGGTAATGTTTTTGACAATAACCCTGAAATGGTAGCATAAAAACCAACATTATGCCCTTGGTAGCATCTTTGTGCTCCCCAGACCCTTTTTTGCCAAATTTCTTTGCAATAGATTAAAAAAAACAATCTGAGGACAGCAATTTCAGGCTAAAAAGAACAAATTGCAATTCACTAAACAAGAAAAAGACCAGCTTTCAAGCTTCTTTGTATCGACATATCTTCAAAATATTTTCAGTAAACTACTTGTTCCTACCAAGTTTTGTGCAGCAGGTCACTTAAAGTGCCACTTAACTACTTTTGACAAAAACTATTGTTCCTTTTTTAATGCGCTTGTTCTATGAAACAATTATCACTGATTCGATTGGCAGCATTATTTTTGCATTTCAATAAAGGGAAAGGCGTTCAATTACAGTCAAATAATGACTGGAGATTCTTAACAACAGCAATAGGATAGGATGTGGTAGGGGAATTGGCAATATTTTATAATCAAATGAAGTTTGACCAGTCAGTATTCAACCAAAGTAATGATTTTAAAAAATTGGGCCTATTTTATTCAACTCCATTTTTTATTGGGCCTGTTTTTTTTCTCTAAGGGTTCGCAGCAAAGCATGAAGTGAATGCAGGCCTTGGTTAACCTGTTTAACCAATGGTTGCAAGCAACCCAAAGGAATACCTTTGATATGCATAAACAATGTTTACTTATTTGTGCCTAGATTTATTTAGATATCTTCAATTGAAATGCTCTGTTGAAGGCCTAGTCGCTTCTAGGGAATACAGATGCTGTTGGGAGGTACAACAGGCTATAGGTATTTCAGGGAACAGCAGAAGAACTAAGATGTGTTACTAATCATCCAGATTTCTCTGTTTATCAAACAAAACTGTCCTAAAACTTGCTGGATCTCTTTTCAAAACTAGAGATGGAAAATGCTACAAGCGTCAAGCAAATCAAACAGAAAATGAGTAGGTTTATAAAAAAATTTTATCCAGGAGAGTGGAATTTCCTCAAAGAAAAATGAAGGCCAAAACATGCTATATTTATTGCAATACACAGATGCTGCAAAACAGTCTTTAGACAGTTGGGCGTTCCACAGTAAACTCATTTCTAAAAACGGCTTTGAAAAATTTAGAAAAGACATTAACTATCTTGTACATAAGTTAGTTATATAAGCAATAATAAAGTTATAGCAATTAGAGAATACAGTAAGAGACAATATTCCAACTGAAATCTTCAATTCATTGTACATAAAGCAATTTTCCCTTGATTAAACTAAATGTTCGGTCAAGAAACCTCTTGACAATTCTACAAAGCATCTTAACTTTCTTGCAGATTTTCAAAAGCCGTTGCATATAGATGGCTTATTCGCTGGATGTTAGGCTTTCTTGGATACGATAATGCCAGACCTCTCCCAGCCTGCATATATAAATTCGTAAGAGAGAGATATAGAAAAAGTACCATAAAAATGCAATTGCTTCTCAAATACACTGCAGATGCAATTGTTTAAATTTTATTTTATACCTCGAAGTTGAAAAAAGCTGAATATTGTCAGATATTTTCAGAAATGCTTAAAGTTCTGGTTTCTACAGGTACAGTCAGCAATTATGCTTTTAGGCAGAGGGGTTTTTAAGAAGTCAAACCTGCACTCTGTGCCAAAGAATGAAAAGCATAACATCTTCGGTTGCCAATGGTTTAAAAGGGAATTATAACCCTTCAAGGCAGCTTGTTTCTGGTATTCATCAAAATTGAGTCAAGTTTATCATAGGCTAGTGTCCCAGGAATATAATTGATTATGATAAATACTTTTTCAAAGCAAAGCTAAATGATTTCCCCAGCACAGTACTGTTGATAAAAAAAGGGACCTATAAACATACCTATTTTGAACCATTTTCTCTTCTCCAGTTGATCATGTTTGCATTTTGGAAAAGCGGATTATCATGGCCATCATGCCTGTTTGCAATATGCCTCATAATGGATGTCCATTTAGCAGCAATCATTGCACCAAAGCCTTGTCTTGTTGATAAAACACACCAATACAAATGTCTTCAAATTCCCTTGACCCAATATTGCAGCCTGTCCAACCCTTTCTCTTTAGCAGCTTGTGAAATCCTTTTACAAATTGACCTTGCCACATGCCAAATGTCATAATAATGATGGGTATCTTTCTGGTTGTTCCTTATCCACTTTGCAATTCCAGTATAGCGGTCTGATACAAATGTTGATATGTCAACTTTTTCTTTCTGCAGACTGGCAAAACATTTCTTTGCTCCAAGCAGCCCCATGGCATTGCTGGTTCCTGCCTCATTTGCCTGTGAAAATTTTGTAGTTCAGATATACTTAGTAAGATTCAGATATAGTTTAGAGCCCCCCTTGTTATTTTGCTAGAACTTTACCACTGTGTGGAATCTATGTTTTATAAATTTATTAAAGTTCTTATCATCAAATTTAACGCTAACAGCAACCTTAAATGTCATGCACTAGACAGCAACCTTAAAAACTAACATCGTCATTCTGGTTTTCCAACTCATGTACTCTCTTTATCAGCATCTTTACCTCTTTCTTTAGCCTACTGTTCTTCTTCTGGCATGTAACTAGCTTAGCTGACAAAACTGGACATTTAAGGCAGCTAGCTTTTTTTGTTGTGGTTAGGGTGTCTACAAACTCGTCTAAATGAGCCTCTCTTGAGCATTGAACAGATTCAAGGATGAAGGGATCGGCAGTGCCTTTGGTTTTGGGGTCAATGTCAGGCGACTTTGCTATCGTTTTAAAGCCTGAAAAGTAATTTTGGGAGTAGGCATTGAAGAAACATGGAACAGAACAGCTACAAGGACATTAGAAATGTCACAAGAAAGACCATTACTTTTTGTATAAATCAAAGCCTAAACTTAATTTGGAGCCCTTAAGCCTTTCTTGTGCATATGTATCTATAATTATATGTGTCTATAATTAAAATTTGATACATCTCCAAAAGAAAAGACCCATTGTAAAAAAATTAGGCCCTACGAACCTTTCTTGCATTCTGTTTATCCCTTTCGCTTTCCGGCGCTCCTGAAAGGGTTCCAGCTGCATCGATTGATGGAATCCCTCCGATTTCAAGCCTTCTTAGGCTTTTAATGTTTTCACTTTGGTTTCCAATGATAATGTCAATTCTCCTCGCAAAGTCAGGCAGTTTGAAATGAATTGAGCATAACACGAAAGTAGCAGATGGAGTGAAGCCGGCTCTATGCCTTCAAACGAGAGAGACCCACTGCCTTCTTTGCTGCAGGTTTCTTTGGAAAATATGCATCGATACTCCATGCGTATAACTATTATTTGTACAGCTGGTTTTGTTAGGTGCTCCAGCAACACAGTACCTTCCTTTCCGGCCTGTATTTTTCTTCTTCTTTACTTCTATTTCACCCGGCTTTTGGTATACTTATACTAAACCCGTATGTGCGTGACAGATGTATAAATCAGATTATGTCACGCATTCCTGACTGACCGCGTAGATTTTTCGCACTAAAGATCACAAAAATCAACACTTTCGGGCTCAATTAAAAGGTGTTATAGAGATGACACGCAAAAAATAATTGCACTATTCAATTCAGCGGCTCTGAATTAATGGATAAAATAAAAAAAACACATGGTCAAAATTTTCACTAAAGTAGTTCAGTGACACTTTAAGATCATCTGGAAATCACAAAACTTTATTCTAAAACTACTTACAAAATACCCAGTGGTTACGCCTCAGTGTGGGGAGGACCTGTCTCCCCCAGTTTTCCAAGAGGTTGATTTTCTATTTTCCCGAAATCTGTTGGAAAGCCTTTGTGGTTGGGTTAATCAGGTCGATTTTGATTTTTTGTTCTTGCAAAGGAGCCCCGGTAAGTTTTCAAAATAAATCAAAAATACTAAAAAAGGCGTTTTCAGCGTTTTCCAAGAGTCTGAAGGGCTGGGAACGCCACTAAAAATACCAGGTTTTTAATTTCTTTACGCTACAGAAGAGCCAATACCACCATTCGGATCGCTTCGATGAGATCTTTCAGTTGGTGTAATTCAATTTGATGTGCAACATATATTCAATAAAATAATCCTTCAAAAGACCTGGCAATTAAAAACTATGACGTCACTATGATATCACAGTCACGCCCAATCCAGAAGGTAATCACCCAAAAAATTCCAATTGCAAAACCCTTCAAAATGAGCCTTTGGCCCCTAACATACTCCATACCGTTTGAGATTTATGACAAGAATGCCTAGAAATTGCAATGTATAATGGAGGGCCGGGCCACATGGACAAAGCATTATAAAAAAATTCAAAACATCATAAAAAACATCAATTTCTGAAGTGAAACCAAAACCGTTACCACCGTTTGAATCGCTTTGGTGAGATCTTTTATTTGGTGTTATTCATTTTGATGTGCAACATGCATTGAACCAATTAATTTAAAAAAATTCCTTGAAATTCAAGACTATTCAAGACGTCACTATCACATCACAGCCCACCCAATCTAAAAAATTCCCCTTTGAAAAATCCTTGCAAATGAGCCATTGGCCCCTAACATAATCAAGACCGTTTGAGAGTTATGACAATAAATCCTAGAAATTGAAACACAAAATGAGGGGCCGGGCCTCTTCGACACTGCATTACAAAAAATGGAAACATCATTCAAACATCGATTTGTAAAGTAAAACCAAAACCATTACTACCATTCCATTTGCTCCAATGATATCATTCATTTTGTGCAATGTATATTGATGTCTAACATGGGATGGGCAAATAAACTCCCATTTTTTGTGAACGTTAACAATAGAAGTTGTAATCAGTAAAAGCCAGCCATTAAACCATTTAACTTGTATGGCTCATTGAACTTATATTTTATTCCTTTTGATATAATACGAGGTCATTGAACTTGCATGAACCATTTAAAACAGTTCTCAATCAATGTATGACAGAAACAGCAATATTCCACATGCTCATTATAAGAAGGAAGACGAAAAAACATGAATGTCCACAATTTCGTTCTAACAATAATTTATAAAATATTTAATTAACAAACACAACAACCAAAAGCTAATATACAATTTACAATAAATAACAAATCTATAAAATAAAAAAAAATTCTCTAAACAAACTACTGAACTAAACATTGAACAAAAAAAATTTAACGGTTAAAGACCGGCCTGCTACCGGCATGAAAAATGTATTTCGCCCCGCTTTGGGGGGTTTGTTTTGTCTTGTTATGTCTTTGGTGACTTGGTTTTGTGAACTTGACAATTATTGTAATCCCTGGTCTGTAGGGAGAAGAGAAACGTTACTTAGCCGACACTAATTATGCAACAAAGACATTGAAATACACTCATTTTTTTGATAAGTGCTGAACAGTAAAAAACATTATGAAACTGTAGTACTCGAAGCTAAAAAATTAAGAAAATATATAATCGTGACTTGAACAACTGAGAGCAACGAAATTTTGTGAAATCCAAGAGCATTGCCCTACTATTATTGTGTTGCCCTAGAACTTAAGACAAAAACGAAAAAATACTTTGTTGCCTAGAACTTAAGACACATAACAGAAGCGAATCTATTGATGTGATAAAAAAGGCCACTCATGACATCATAATTAAGAAACTTTTAAGATAAATGAGTATTGAAATTTCCAGAACATCAAGAAACTGGAGTACTCAACATCGACCTTAATTTCTCATAAATAATGAGTGTATTGTTAAGATGAAAAAGGAAATTATCTCAATAATATCACCAAAAGGTGTCTAGGCATAGGGACATAATTTGAAATCTGTGCAGATGTAGGTGCTTAATATCTTTACAAGGTTTTAGTAGCTTATTATTAAATGGGCTCATAGATGAAGGGGAGCATTTACGAACATAGATGTTTGTAAAAAAGAAACTGAATGCTTGTTTATTGAGAATACACACTTTAGTCTACAAGAATATTGAAACTCATAAAGTGTATAAGAATATTGAAGCTCATAAAGTCTATAAGAATATTGAGGCTCGAAATTGCTAAAATTTAAAATTAATTTAAGAATAATCCCAGGCTCAACCTTCATCAAGACTGAAAACTTTCCTTTATCTAGATCTGAATAGGATCGTATTTGTAAAATTACATTTTGCATTTTAATATCACATTTGTTGTTCTGTTTGTTTTTGCTCAATTCAGGATGAAGCAACACATCAGAAAGATTAAATGTTTTTCTTTGATCTTAAGGCGAATTAAGAATAATTTAAGAATAATCTTAGGCTCAAAATCGAAAGTTTTTAAGAATATTAAGGCTCGGCAGAAAATTAGGTATTCTAAAAAAAGTGTCTAGAGCCATTTTAAGCAGAGCTTTAACGAGAGAGGAAATAGCGGCTGTACGAGAGTAGAAGAGGGGGGGGGGAAGAGGTGTCACTAAGCATGAAAATACAGTAGGGATATATTGTCATAAATACCTTATCTCCTTCAATCTTTTCCTGTCCCCATTCACCATTATGAATGGGGATTTTCTTTGGATTTGAAAGTGCTTTGTGATTTGGCGCTTCATTGCACCAAATTTCTTCTGGTATGGCAGCATCTAGAGAATATCCAATAAATATATCAAGATTTACA